TCAAATTTCATGTATTCAGAGTTCAGTTATCCAAATTTCCCCAAATCCCCAAATGGTTATTATGTCGATGATTTTTTCGCCAATTTCATTGCAGGGCCCGTTTCCCAAAACTCCTGATAAACCCTTGGTACCAAGTGAAACTAAAGCAGATTTCGTTCAATGGTCACTATAGCATTTTGGTCAGTAGGAAGTCTATATAAACACAGTGTCCAGTCAAGTGGTCATTTGTCCTAGAACAACCTTGGTCAGTTTGTCCTTGGCTAGAAGGATCAGGTCAGTTTGTCCCCAGACACCTATCTATCTGTTGTCAGGGTTTCTAGACAGAGTTAAGTTGATTACCTTCACATATATTGGACTAGTCTAAAACAAAAGAATGGACTTGCTTATGTAAACAAATGGGTTGGCAAGCTAGGCCACCACTTTGTCCTCAGATGATGCCAATAAATCTGTCTGGCTTTGAGGTCAAAAGGTCATATGGAGATGGAATTAGGGATGAAAGTTTAAGAACTTCGTCTTATGTCTGGTTTTCAGGTCATACGGTCATTTGGGGATAGGAAGGGATTGTTGATATTACTTCTGAGACAGGAATAGATAGAACAGACAGGCTGAGAATAAACTTATGAGTGATTCACTCACATAGGTTACAGTAGCTGTGGTTGTAAAGACATCATTTGTCAATAGGCCTCTGTGTGTAATGCAAAGGTGATGGTTGGACATTGTTGATGTCTCTGTGTGTAATGCAGAGTTGATGCCTCTGTGTGTAATGCAGAGTTGATGCCTCTGTGTGTAATGCAGAGTTGATGGGAGGACATCATTGATGTCACTGTAATGTTGACAAAGGTGATAGTGGGACATTGTTGATGTCTCTGTAATTTTAACACAGGTGATGATGGGACATTGTTGATGTCACTGTAATGTTTACACAAGTGATGATGGGACATTGTTGATGTCACTGTAATGTTGACAAAGGTGATGGTGGGACATTGTTGATGTCACTGTAATGTTGACAAAGGAGATAGTGGGACATTGTTGATGTCACTGTAATGTTGACAAAGGTGATGGTGGGACAATGTTGATGTCACTGTAATGTTAACACAGGTGATGGTGGGACATTGTTGATGTCACTTATGTTAACACAGATAAGCATGGGACATTGTTGATGTCACTGTAATGTTGACACATGTGATAGTGGGACATTGTTGATGTCACTGTAATGTTAACACATGTGATGATGGGACATTGTTGATGTCAATGTAATGTCAACACATTGTCTGTGTGTAAAGCTGATATACAGAGGGGATGGAAGTATTTTGTCTTGCAGTGAAATTCAGTGACATTGACATTACACGTATGAGAGAACACTTATCTGTTTCCATAACAAAATAGTTTTGACTTAAAATAGTTCATCACTGATCAATACAATGTTGCCCAACCTCATTTTCAGGGGACATCATCCCCAATGTGAGCTATGTATTTTCCCGAACTTGGTAAAGAAATCCACTCTCAGATAGATACTTATTACCAAAGACATATATGAAGATATGAATAATTATGATTTTATAGGTTCATGTATGGGCAATATATTATATATATATAACGACAACAAATGATACATATTAACAAATATGCAGTAGATTAGTTAATGTAGACAATTACACATTGAAACACCTTAAAACGGTACATTTATAAATACTCTATGTATGGCAAACAATAAATAATATACATTGCTATCCTTTATGTAAAACAACGTAAGATATGGACAACATAAATATCGTGACCCAGATAACATGAACAAATTATATATATATATGAAAACCTTATAAAATATAAAGATGTTAAAATATACATTTTTTTTTTTTATTTAATTTTCTTATTTTCAAAGATTTTCAGAACATGTACATTATACAGAACATCACATCAACACATATCCACACATTCACACATATCTACTATTGAAATTATCAGCAACCTCATCCTCCTTATCATCCTCATCATCTGATGCTGATTTTATACAATCACCAAGACACATTCAATTTTCACACACTTTCACACATAGAATAGACAAAACAGAGAGAGAGAGAGAGAGAGAGAGAGAGAGAAGAGAGAGAGAGAGAGAAAATATACATTTATATATCATATATAGAATAGACATTTTTTTTTATATATATTTTGGACAACAAATATGCATTTATTTACCATAAATAGACAACAAAAACACAAACATGCATTTATTTACTATAAATAGACATCAAAAGATGCATTGATTTACTTCAGACAACAAAAAATACATTAACATATCATAATAATATTGAGTAGACAATAAAACACATTTATATACTTTAGTCAATAAAAATACATATATAGAATAGACATTTGAATACAACAAAAAATACGCTTATATACTTTAGACAACAAAAATATATTTATATAATTTTAAGAACAAAATCTACATATATAGACAACACATAAACAATACAATAATATATACTTTATGTAAATACAACTAAAAGACAACAAAATCTATATATATTGACAACATACGGCAATACAATAATATATACTTTATGTAAATACAACAAAATCTACATATAGACAACATATGACAATACGATAATATATACTTTATGTTAATACAACAAAATCTACATATATTGACAACATAAACAATACGATAATATATACTTTATGTTAATACAATAAAATCTACATATATAGACAACACATAAACAATACAATAATATATACTTTATGTTAATACAACAAAATCTACATATATAGACAACACATAAAAAATACAATAATATATACTTTATGTAAATACAACTAAAAGACAACAAAATCTACATATATTGACAACATAAACAATACGATAATATATACTTTATGTAAATACAACAAAATCTACATATATAGACAACACATAAACAATACAATAATATATACTTTATGTAAATACAACAAAATCTACATATATAGACAACACATAAACAATACAATAATATATACTTTATGTAAATACAACAAAATCTACATATATAGACAACATATAAAAAATACAATAATATATACTTTATGTAAATACAACAAAATCTACATATATAGACAACATATAAAAAATACAATAATATATACTTTATGTAAATACAACAAAATCTACATATATAGACAACATATAAAAAATACAATAATATATACTTTATGTAAATACAACTAAAAGACAACAAAATCTATATATATAGACAACATAAACAATACAATAATATATACTTTATGTAAATGCAACAAAATCTACATATATAGACAACACATAAACAATACAATAATATATACTTTATGTAAATACAACAAAATCTACATATATAGACAACATATAAAAAATACAATAATATATACTTTATGTAAATACAACAAAATCTACATATATAGACAACATATAAAAAATACAATAATATATACTTTATGTAAATACAACAAAATCTACATATATAGACAACATATAAAAAATACAATAATATATACTTTATGTAAATACAACAAAATCTACATATATAGACAACATATAAAAAATACAATAATATATACTTTATGTAAATACAACAAAATCTACATATATAGACAACATATAAAAAATACAATAATATATACTTTATGTAAATACAACAAAATCTACATATATAGACAACATATAAAAAATACAATAATATATACTTTATGTAAATACAACTAAAAGACAACAAAATCTATATATATAGACAACATAAACAATACAATAATATATACTTTATGTAAATGCAACAAAATCTACATATATAGACAACACATAAACAATACAATAATATATACTTTATGTAAATACAACAAAATCTACATATATAGACAACATATAAAAAATACAATAATATATACTTTATGTAAATACAACAAAATCTACATATATAGACAACATATAAAAAATACAATAATATATACTTTATGTAAATACAACAAAATCTACATATATAGACAACATATAAAAAATACAATAATATATACTTTATGTAAATACAACAAAATCTACATATATAGACAACATATAAAAAATACAATAATATATACTTTATGTAAATACAACTAAAAGACAACAAAATCTATATATATAGACAACATAAACAATACAATAATATATACTTTATGTAAATGCAACAAAATCTACATATATAGACAACACATAAACAATACAATAATATATACTTTATGTAAATACAACAAAATCTACATATATAGACAACATATAAAAAATACAATAATATATACTTTATGTAAATACAACAAAATCTACATATATAGACAACATATAAAAAATACAATAATATATACTTTATGTAAATACAACAAAATCTACATATATAGACAACATATAAAAAATACAATAATATATACTTTATGTAAATACAACAAAATCTACATATATAGACAACATATAAAAAATACAATAATATATACTTTATGTAAATACAACTAAAAGACAACAAAATCTACATATATAGACAACATAAACAATACAATAATATATACTTTATGTAAATACAACAAAATCTACATATATAGACAACACATAAACAATACAATAATATATACTTTATGTAAATACAACAAAATCTACATACATAGACAACATATGACAATATAGACAGATGAGAGTACTGTATCGGAGGAGCACGAGAGATGCCCGGAACACCAGCTCGTGTGGACCTAGACATGGTCTGTACCTCCTCGTCTGTAGACAGTGTACACATACAGCACCACTACTACACAGCTACAGTGTAGGTATACCTACATCTACACAAAAACTCCGTTGGATCATGCTTACCAAACATGGACTTAAAAAAATCAATGATTCTGTCTAGGGATGGTTAGTGTGGGGAGAAATCTCTGCCTCTGAGGCCAAGCTGGGGTGGACAGCTTACCCCGCCTTCCCCACGACAGTTTTTTTATAGGATCGGTCGCACAAGCATGGGAACATGTTCCCAAACGAGGAGCCAAACGTCTGGTATCTACCATTCCTGTCGCCCAAGAATTCGCCGAGGGTCGCCAGTGTGACCGGGGCCTGTCGCTTCTCCCGGGGTCAGTGTTCTTGTCCGTCGTGCAGAGCCCGCCGCCCGGGATCATCGTCGGGCTTGGGCCGCGGCTTCTCAGAATTTTGGCAGTTTTTATGCTAATGAACTTGTTCATGATTTGAATGTTCGGCCTCGATCTACCTTGTGTTGGGATCGCGGCGGGATATCACCTAGGGTTTGTTGTCATGGCGTTGGTGAGGGTGTTTCTGGTCTAGTGTAGTAACCAGTAAGTTTTGGTGCTGATTCAGATTCTTTGGATTTACAGTGAGACCTGCTCATGGTTTTGTGTTGATGATAAGAGTTACAGTTATTTTGTTTTATGGTGAACCGGTCAAGACCTGGTAGGTTTTGAATCATTTTGGCTGCAATCGACTTTGTGCTTAGAGCACTGGCAACAGTGATGATCTCTTAATGAATCTATTTATCTGTTCTCTGTTTATTGTCTCAGTGTTTATGTACCTGTGGCAGCCGTCTCTACCTGTCCCTGCCCCTCGACCTGTCCCTCGACCTGTCCCTATCTATGTACCTAACAATCAGCCCCTCCCTACCCTTACATATCCCCCCTCCTTATCACGTTGACACTTATCTATCCATCCTTCTGATGCAGAGACTTTGAGATGTATATATATAGCTACCGTTCTGTCACTCTGTTCCTCTGACCTCGAAACTCCTTCATTCCTACTACTTTTTAGCCTCCCGTCCTCTGACCTTGGGACTTATACCTCCCTACCAGTCTTCCTCCTTCCTTTCCCCGACCTTGAGACTTTGACGTCTTTACCACTCTTTATTCCTCCTTCCTTTTGATCTTGAGATTTAACCTTCCCTACCATTCTTTCTTTCTCCCTCTCTCTGATCTTGAGACTTATACCTCCCTACCATTCTCCCTCCCTCTGACCTTGAGACTTATACCTCCCTACCATTCGCGATCCCTCTGACCTTGAGACATATACCTATCTACCATTCTCCCTCCCTCCCTCTGATCTTGAGACTTATACCTCCCTACAATTCTCCATCCCTCTCTCTGATCTTGAGATTTATACCTCCCTACCATTCTCCATCCCTCCCTCAGATCTTGAGATTTATACCTCCCTACCATTCTCCTTCCCTCCCTCTGATCTTGAGACCTATACCTCCCTACCATTCTCCATCCCTCCCTCTGATCTTGAGATTTATACCTCCCTACCATTCTCCCTCCCTCTGACCTTGAGACTTATACCTCCCTACCATTCTCCCTCCCTCCCTCTGACCTTGAGACTTATACCTCCCTACCATTCGCGATCCCTTTGACCTTGAGACTTATACCTCCCTACCATTCTCCCTCCCTCTGACCTTGAGACTTATACCTCCCTACCATTCGCGATCCCTCTGACCTTGAGACTTATACCTCCCTACCATTCTCCATCCCTCTGACCTTGAGACTTATACCTACCTACCATTCTCCGTCCCTCCCTCTGATCTTGAGACTTATACCTCCCTACCATCCCTCTCCCTCTGACCTGGAAACTTATACCTTCCCTTGCATTCTTTATACTGTTGTTACTCTAACCTTGAGATTTAACTTTCCCTACCATTATTTATCTTTTCTTCCCTCCCTCTCTCCCTCTGACCTTGAGACTGGGACGTCTTTGTCATTCTTTATGCCTCTCTCCCTCTGACCTTGAGTTTTACACCACTTACCATTCCTTATGCCCCCCTCTCTCCGACCTTGAGACAAATCTTTCCCTACTAATCTTTATCTCTCTATCACTCTGACCTTGACTTACCATTTCCTATAATTTGAACTCTACCCTCCCTTGACACTTATCCATCCCTGTCATTCTCTTTTCCTCTCTCCTTTCAACCTAGAAACTTATCCCTCCTTGCTATTCTTAGTTCATCTTTCTGTCTCTCTCACCTTGCGACTTATCTTTCCCTACTATTTTTGACCTCTCTGTCGCTCTGACCTTGCAATTGATGCCTCTTAACCATTTTTTCTCCTTATCTCTTTGTCCTTCTGACCTTAAGACTTGCATCTCCCTACCATTCTTTGTTTCTCTGACATTGCCCAAATCCATTATTTATTTATCTTTAACCTACACCATCACAGCTGGACACTTTGTACCCAACTGCATGAGTCCTCCATACTTATAGAAGATATTTACGTACCAGTAGACAGGTACTCTGTAATACAACCCCAGTCCTCCGTACCTATAGAAGATATTTACGTACCAGTAGACAGGTACTCTCTGTAATACTACCCCAGTCCTCTGTACCTATAGAAGATATTTACGTACCAGTAGACAGGTACTCTGTAATACTACCCCAGTCCTCTGTACATATAGAATATATTCACGTACCAGTAGACAGGTACTCTCTGTAATACTACCCCAGTCCTCTGTACATTTGAAGATATTTACGTACCAGTAGACAGGTACTCTGTAATACTACCCCAGTCCTCTGTACCTATAGAAGATATTTACGTACCAGTAGACAGGTACTCTCTGTAATACTACCCCAGTCCTCTGTACCTATAGAAGATATTTATGTACCAGTAGACAGGTACTCTCTGTAATACTTCCACAGTCCTCTGTACATATAGAAGATATTTATGTACCAGTAGACAGGTACTCTGTAATACAACCCCAGTCCTCCGTACCTATAGAAGATATTTACGTACCAGTAGACAGGTACTCTGTAATACTACCCCAGTCCTCTGTACCTATAGAAGATATTTATGTACCAGTAGACAGGTACTCTGTAATACAACCCCAGTCCTCCGTACCTATAGAAGATATTTACGTCCCAGTAGACAGGTACTCTGTAATACTACCCCAGTCCTCTGTACCTATAGAAGATGTTTACGTACCAGTGTACAGGTACCCTCTGTAATACTACCCCAGTCCTCTGTACCTATAGAAGATATTTACGTACCAGTAGACAGGTACTCTGTAATACTACCCCAGTGCTCTGTACATATAGAAGATATTTACGTACCAATAGACAGGTACTCTGTAATACTACCCCAGTCCTCTGTACATATAGAAGATATTTACGTACCAGACAGGTACTCTCTGTAAAACTACCCCAGTCCTCTGTACATTTGAAGATATTTACGTACCAGTAGACAGGTACTCTGTAATACTACCCCAGTCCTCTGTACCTATAGAAGATATTTACGTACCAG